GCTGCTGGTTGCTCACTGTTGAACACTGTGGGCCTGTAAGGAACCAGTTTTGCACAGGCAGCAAAGCAAACTGAAATCCCGAGTTTTTCCAAATGCGTTGCTACATCTTGCTTGCTTTTGAGAAAACTGGTGCTGCTTGAAAAAGCCGCTCTCATGTTCTGGCAGTTTGCCCGCTTGTGTCTCCTTGCGAGTTGCAGAGTTGCAAGTATTTCCCCCCTCCAATAATGCACTCAGGTACTGGATGCTGGAGACACTGGAGTCAGGATGGAACCGCCCAGAATGAAGGGGAGGCATCAGCATCCTTGCCGGTTCTGCACTTTGCAAAGTGCGAGAGCCTGAAGGGGGCAAGCGACCCCACTGCTTCCCCCACCACCTCACCGGGACTGAGCGCGCCGTGTCAGTTGAGAAAGAAAGAGAAAGAGAAAGCTGCGAGAGGATGTTTTGGTGCATTACTGGGCCGGTGCTGAGAAGAAGCCTGGCGGGAGGTGCCTGAGGGGAGGGCAGCCACCCAGGACTGGCCGCTGGTCGTCACCCCCTAGCAGGGCGAGGGCTCGAAATCAAGGTGCCACAGACAGGTTTTTCCCTCTCTCTGGCCTGGAAACTGACCAGAAACAGTGCTTTTTCCTATCTACTCTCGGGAGACCCGTTACTTCTGTGATGCAGAGTAAGATTACGAGCCATTTTCTGTCAAGGTGATTGCTGTGAAGAGTCCACAGAAATGGGGTTGTAGTTTTCCACCATGTTCTGCTTTTCTTTCCCCCGTACCTTTCCTCTTTTAATTCTTTAGCCCATCATTCCTTTCCCTTTTACATACACTCACCTTGCCCTGTGGCTTGACTAGGCAGAGCGGATTTGGCGCTAAGTCCAGTGCCCAGACAAGGGGCATCCTCCTGGAAGGGAACCAAGACTGGGAGGGAGGTGGGGGGGGGCTGTCATGGCCCCCCTTTATGTTGCCCTGCCGCACAGTGCCCTCAGGTCCTGTTGCCCACGGTCCGCCTGGTTGGCTTAAGGCTGCGAGGCGCATTCATGCTTCAGCCGGATGCCATTGTGGGAGACTCGTTCCCTTGATTTACATTCATGTCCTGCCAGCGCATGATGCATCGAGGTAGGAGGTAGCTGTGGCTATTAGTGACACACAATAGCACAGTCTGGCTCTGAAAGGGCCAATAGCCTCCCTCCTGGCTTATGTTTATTGCTGGTTTCATCGATGTCGTGTTCTTATGGTTTTTTATTATGTTTTATTACTCTTATGCTCACACTAGTTTCATGGGTTTTATTGCTGTATGCCGATTTGGGAGGGCCCCTGCCCTGAAAGGTGGCCGGGAAATACCTCAATTAACTCAGGCATTAAGTCTCAGTCCATGAGGCTGCCCAGACTCCTCTGAACGTGGCGGATTCCCAGCATCCGGTGAGGGCAGGAGAAGCGCAGGGACAAAGCTCACCTGCCAGCTGCCTCCAGCCTGTAGAGCACCTGCATGGTCATTTCCAGCGTCTGATGGCAGCTCTCTGGAGTGCCTGTGGTGGCACCAGGGACAGACAGCGGGAAGCACCTGGGATGCCTCCTGAACCGCTTCCCCAGGATTCCTCTCAGGAGCTCGCAGCTGCCGCTAGTCCAGTTCTTCCCCGGACTAGAATGGATCCACAGCTCTGAGGCTGCAGCTGCTTCAGCCTCAGACCCGGGGACCCGAAGAGCCCTGTCGCTCTGCAGGTGCTGCTGAGGACCCTTGGGGTCAGTCTCCGCATGAGCGAACAGGCGTGTCAGCTCTGTGCCGGACTCTTGAGCTGTAGGGGGTGCCTGCCCTGTTCCTGGCATCCTTTTTAGGGAGGGTTGAGCAAAGAAAGCGGGAATTTGAGCCAACATCCTACTTCAGCCTGAATTTCACAACTAGGCCTGGAACAGGAGACGGCGAGCAGGACTCCGGAGAGATCTGATCGGAGGGCGACAAACAGTCAAGGTGAATGCAAGCATCTGGGCAGAACAGACACAGAGATTGCTCGCGAGAAGACACTGCGGGACTCACTGCAGGGGGCGAAAGGGGCCCACTTACTTCGAGTGGGGAGCGATGCTCCATTCCCTCACCACCTGGGCGGCCCCTGTGGCTTCAAGTCACCTGTCTGGCTCTTCCGATTCTGAAGCCACCTCTCCATCTGCTTTCCTTCAGAATCTTCCCACACATTCTGAAATAGTGGAGTCAGGAGAAGCATCTGCCTCGCTTGCTCCAAATCACCCAGCTTTGGCACTAGCACAGGAAAGAGTGCAATAGGGTCGTTCCAGCAGTCTTGCTTATTTTCCATCACACGGAACCTACTTCCTTACGCAAGAAATAACTTTCCTGTAAGTTATAACTATTTGATGCTGCTTATTTCGAGCTCTTTCTTGTCTCTTTATCCCTTCTGGTGCCTGAAAACAGCCACCTTCCTTTCTGACAGGTGTAACCCCTGTACCCTGGATGAAGAGGCCTCTGTCAGATCCCATGATCTCTTCCCAACAGCCTGGCCGGCTCCTGTGCTGTTGCCTAATGCAGGTTTTAGCTCGACCTCCAGGGGCCAGGTGGGTGGTGGGAGCATCAGGAGCCCGGGAAGAGAAGCCGGCTGGAGAAGGCAGGAATTGATCAACAACCTGGAGAGGTGTCTGAAAGAGAGGAGATGAAAAGAGGACACCTGCTATTTGCAGGAAGGTGCAGGGAAGCAAAAAGAAGAGAGGAGGTGGGCTTTGTAAGCCAATGAAGACCCTCCCCCTATCCACAAACTAAGAAAACAGCCAATGGAACTTCAAAGCACTGTCTTTTGTTTGTTTCCAGCAAAACAAATCCATTTCATGAAGGACTGTGTAGCATATTTTAAAGTTTCAATCTCAGGCTGAAAATAGAAGTTCCCAAGCAGCTCGGGAAGGTGCAAACGTGCGTCTCCTCCCTCTTCGGGATCCCCTTTGGAGGGCAAAGGTCCAGGCAGGCATTGAAGCGCCGTGGCACAGTCCAGAAGGTCCTGGATTCCGTGCCCAACATCCTCTTCCAGTAGAGCTTGGAGAGCCCTTTGGTGGGTTTTGAGAGAGACCTACGTAAACTTAGAAACATAGAAACAGAGCGAGTCAGAAGGGGTCTCCTGGGGCCATCTAGTCTGACCTCCGGCTCCAGCCGGCTCCGCTCACGACATGCCCACCATGTGCATGTCCAGCCTATCCTTGAACACCCCACTGATGGGGCCTCAACGACCTCTCGTGGAAGCCCCTTCCACACCCTCGGGGTCCTGACTGTCAGGAACTGCTTCCTGGCATCCAAATTGAACCTTGGCTCCCTGAGCTTTGCTCCGTTGGAGCGCGTCCTGCCTTCCTCTGCAGGGAAGAACAGGTCTCTTCCCACCTCCTCTGACACCCCCTCACATACCTGTATGTCGCCAACGTATCCCCTCTGAGTCTCCTTTTCTGCAGGCTGAAGAGACCCGGTTCCCTCAGTCTCGCCTCATATGGCATCCCCTGCAAACCGGCCACCAACCTTGTGGCCCTATGCTGCACTGACTCTAACCTGGCTATATCCTTCCTGTAATGAGGGGCCCAAAACTGAACACAATATTCCAGTTGTGGGCACACCAGAGTTGTATAGAGTGGCAGTAATACCTCTCTTATCCTACCTGTTGTATCCACCCAAAGAAGTGACTAGTATTAAAAGGAATTTTTCTTCATGCTGGGGTTTTTTTAGACCCCAATACTTTTCCTGTACAGTTTTGTTTTCCATCAAATGGAGTTTGACTTACCCTTTTGCCTTTTCAATTAAATCTTGATATCTAAAGGCACAGAATGGAAGTGAGACTTGAAACACAATGGAACAATTCCCCCTTCTTAGAATTAATTCAGGAGCCAAGGGTAACTTTTCCAAAGCAAAATGCATTTAGTTGTTGTAGAGGAACATTCTGCTGCCCCAACGACCAGCAGATTGCAGAGAAACTTGACCCATGATATCCTTTTGTGCTCTTGTATGGAAGCCATCGGAGAACCACCTGATTTGCATGAAAACAGCTCTCACATATTTCCAGCCTGGGATCACACATAGGTCAACTAACTCGTTGCATTACCTGTAATTACCTCCAAGAAACCACCTCTTTTAAGAACACAGACAGTAACAAAACTCATTTCATGAGGTGATCAGTAACATGCACTTCACTAATCTAATTTAGATAATTGACAGTAAAAGCAAAGTACGCCCGTGCATTCTGAGTCCGAAGATGATGTAGCCGCAGACTGGTAAGCTGAACTGAAGGCCCTGAGCTGGCCGCTGTGCGTCGTTCTGACTTGCCTGAAGGAGTTCTCAGACCCGAAAGTACTTACAGTCGATCAAGCGAAGGGATAGGGTAAAATGCCTAACAGAAAGGAAGAGTTCTGGACTCTGGCCTCCTGTCCATGTGGCCTCAACCCAGAGGGCAATTCGCAAGCTTTCCACCCCTCACTGGGCTGCCACATGTTGCTAACCCCAGCATAGCCTCCCAGTGCTCTCTCTGCTGTTCTGTCCTGGGATTCTTCAGAGCAGTTGCATCGCACCTTTTATATATGCTGTGTGTGCATACGCATGAATAAATCAGCGTACACGTGCATATATAAGATCAGTGGTGTGCATGTGTATAAATCAGTGTGTGCTAGACTTGTGGGAAAAGAGTGTGGCTCCAGGGGGCAGGTGGGGAATCACGGAACGGGGGCGCTGAAGGGGGCTCGAGGCCATTTAGTCCATCGCACTGCTCAGCGCCCGACCGATGGCCATCCAGCCGCATCTTGGACGCCTCCAGGGTGGGACAGCCCACCACGTCCCGTGGTCACGGGTTCCACTGTCACACTGTGCTAACAGTCAAGAATTGTTTTCCTGATGTCCAGCCAGAATCTGGCTTCGTGTAATTCGAGCCCATTATTCCGTGTCCTGCACTCTGGGATGATTGAGAAGAGATGCCCCGCCGCCCCCCGCCCATGTGACAGCCTTCCAAGCATTTGGAAAGTGCGACCCCCATCTCCCCGCAGCCTGCTCTTCTCGAGGCTAAGCAGGCCCAGTGCTTTCCGTCTCTCCTCCCAGGGCTTTGTCTCCAGTCCCGGCTCATCCTCGCTGCCTCCTCCGGGCCCTTCCCGGCTCGTCTGCATCTTTCCTCGGCCGAGGCGCCCAGAGCTGGACGCAGGACTCCAGGTGGGCCCGGCCAGTGCTGAGTCGAGGGGCACTGGCGCTTCCGGTGGTTTGGGAGCGATTCTTCCAGCAGTGCAGCCTGACGTAGCCCCTGCCCTTTCACAGCCACGCGCAGGGCTGGCTCGTATTCAGCATGTGAGCGACAATGCTTCTAAGGTGCCCCTCGCTCGCATGCCGCTCAGCCAGGCGTCCATCCCGCAGCGGCGCGTTCGGTTCCCTTTTCCTCGGTGCAGAACCTGGCACTGGTCCCTCCTGAACTTCCTCCCGTTGCCTCCAGCCCAGCTGGAGTGAGGACCTATAAAGCCCTATAAAGCCTATTTGGGTGAGGACCTATACAGCCCTAAATGGCTCAGGTCCTGGATGCCTGAGGGAGCGCCTGCTTCCCTGTGTGTCCTCCTGCCCTTAGGTGGGGGTCCTGCTCTGGGAGCCCTCCCTGAGGAAAGGGGCCTGAGGAAGGACGGACAGCTTGGAGGGCAGCCCGGCCACCCCCTCCTTCAATCTGATGTGGGAAAGGAAGGCCTTGCAGCAGGGCCCCCTCAAGCCTCACCCCTCCTCCTGCCCCTGGGATGCTGGCCAGGGGAGGGGGGAGCGCACGCCCACCCCAAATCCGTCATGGGAGGCGAGCATTGCTTTCTGCAGTGCAGAACCCATCGCCCCCAAGCCCTGCTTCAGGGGCCAAGTCCTGCTTTCCCAGCTTGCCCGTGCTCCTGAGGCAGCTCAGGAAGGGGTGGGGAAAGCCGGCTGTTTTCCCACGGCCAGCAAAACTGGGTGCTGCTGCAGGCGGGCCCTGTCTCCACTTCTGTGGACGGAGGGCTCCCCTGAGCAGCCTTTCCCAGCAGAAATGCTCCCCCTGCCTTTGCTCACCTTCATCGCAGCCGGATCTACTTCGCAAACAGATCGGAAGACCCCTTTGGATGGGATTGCCACCTACTCTGGCCCGTCTTCTGATTGGAAGCTGGTGAGGTGCCCACAGCAGCGCCCCAGCTGGGGCCGGAGGGGAGGGGATCCCCAAGCTGCTTGTGCCCAGTGAGGTGTCAGAGCGTGAGCTTGGTTTGGGAAAGAGGCATCTTGATCTGGCCAGGAGAAAGATGTGGGGCTGGCAGCTGGGGCCGGGCTCAGTTGTAGGGGCAGGACGCGATCGAGAGGGGCTGGGCGAGGGTGGCCGTTGCCTGGCTTGGTGTCTGTGTTTCGCCTGGCCGGGGCACGATGCGCGGCCATCAGCAGCTTTTGGGTTTTGCGGTCTCAAGACACTGCTTTGGAGAAGCAGCCTGGTTCTCCGAGAGGAAGTCATGGCCGAGAGGGAAAAGGCCACTCTTCACACGTGTTCACCCCTGGGGACGGAGCTGTCCTGCCAGGCCCCGCTCCGCAGCAGGGACAAGACTCCTTTGTCCAGGCAGTGTGGGCAAAGCGCGGGAATACGGGGGTTTTCTTGGGACAGAAGGCCAGGATCACCCTCTCCGAGGTGCAGGCAAGCCAAGTGTCAGCTTGTGTTAACGGGGCTCCAGTCGGTTGAACCCTGATTGATTTCACTTGATTTAGTTAGATTCACTTTAGGTGATGAACCAGTGCAGACTATTAATCGGGGAGGCTGTGAGTAATGGGCACACCGGGTCTTCGTTTTAAGGATGTTGTTATCGCAGCATGTCACTGTCTCCAAGGCGCTCTCTCCTTCAGGAAAGTGACGCCTGGGAGGACAGGCGCGCGTGCTTGTGAGGAGCCTGGCAGGCCGCTGGGCCCAACCGCCCGCTCAGCGCAGGACTCAAGTCACCCGCCATTGGAGGGTTTTGGTCTATTGGACTGCAGGGCAGCCCCAGTCTCTCCCGCTGGATTCCTGGTGGAGCCCACTGGAGCCCCAGCCCTCCCAATGCCCCTGGCCTTGCTGAGTGGGGCAGAAAAGCCCCACTGAGAGCCAGTGTGGCGCAGTGGTTAAGAGCATGGGACTGGGACTCAGGCGATCTGGGTTCTAGTCCCCGCTCAGCCATGGAGCCAACTCGGTGACTCTGGGCCAGTCACAGATTCTCAGCCCAACCTACCTCACAGGGTTGTTGCTGTGGGGATAAAATGGAGGAGGAGAATGATGTAAGCTGCCTTGAGCCCTTTGTAGGAAAAAGGCAGGATATAAATAAATAAATAAAAACTGGTTCCACCGGGAACTTGCCACCTCAGGACAGCCAAAGTACTTCAGAGTAGCCAGTTAAGCTGCTCCTGGAAGTCCTGCTCGTTCCTCCAGGGTTCAGTGGGGACAAGCGATCCCTTCTGACTCGTCCTGCGCAAGCGGGGCTGTTCCCCAAAGCACCTTGACGCAGGGACTCCAGAAAGAGCCGCTGTCCCTCCGTCGCTGTGGCAGCACAGAGAGAGAGCTGCTCCGGCGGCGGGGGGGGTGTGCTGGGGGGGCGGGTGGAGGAGGAGAGGTATGCCCCCGCGTGCTGGGGCTGCGGTGAGCCTGCCACCAGACTGCTGTCCCCGTGCGCACCTCCAGCACCAAGGTGGTCCCCAAGTTGCAAGTTTCCCCGTGTCAGGGCTGCTCATTAGTTTCCAGCCCTTTCAATATTTCAGAAAATCTTCTGTGCTGAGGCTTTGGTGACAGGCACATTTGTTAACATTTAATTACTTGGTTAACAGTGAGAGGATTAATTGAGGCATACCCTATTCATCATCTGCTAGCCCTGGGAGGAACCGTCGTCCTGGCAGAAAATGGGCTGGATGTGGACTTCTGGAGTCAGCATGCCAGCGTCTGTTGGCTGAGTGCCATGGGCAAAGGGGATTTGGGGGTGGGCTGCAATCGCCTGGCTGGGTTTTGTGTGGTTCAGGCGAGGAGAAGCCCCCATGCATCTGCTGCCCCCAGCCCAGCGCTGTTCGTCTGCTTTTGACTTCAGCGCCTGTCGCATCCTGCCCACGGGATCAGGGGACAGTTGTTGTTCAAAGCATGTGGAGGGCCCCAGGCTGGGAAGGTGGGGGGGGGGGGGCAGAGGACCTGATGCAAGCTATTCTCAGCAGCATCTCTGGGTTGGCGCAATGTTCGCGCCACTTTTCCAGCAGGAGATCAGTGAAGCAAGATCTGTGCGCCCCTTGGCTCCGGTGCCTGCTCTCTTCCCCTCCCCACTCTGTCCTTGGTGAATTGCACAGGTGTTCTGCAATATACGGATGGACGGGGCGGGGATTCATCTTGCAGGGCAGGCAGGGGGTCCAGGGCCAAGCGTGCCCTTTGCCAAACGAACTGAGTGCTTTACAGATGGACTGGCTCATTAGCAGGCCGTCCCGGGTTCGTGGCAAAGACTTTTTTTCCGCTGGAGCAAAGCCTATGGATGATTGGCCACAGTGGGGCCACCCCCGAGAGGCCCATGGTGTGGAAAGGGAGGGAAACCCCTCATGGGGTGTTAGATCTGCCCTGATGAGCTGCCCCTAGACAGAGGCATGCAAACAGAACAGGGGTGGGAAGATCTCATGCTCAGGGGATTTAGTTTGCCCCCCCCCCCAATCTGAGGTTTGCCAGCTGCAGACAAGTGCAAAGTGATGGCTTGGGAAGAGGAGTGAGCATATAAATAGAAGAGTCAAGGAGCTTCTCACCTCTGAGTGCTTCTCATCCCACAAATCAGTTTTGTTCACCACCACCTTTCCATAGAAAAACCCTTTCCTAGCTTCTTCCCCAAGTGTTTCCCATTTTTGGGACCCTGCTTGCAAAAAAGGCAGCTGTTGCCATTGTCCAGCAGTTGGGAGTCTGAAATGCCTGAGGATCTATTGCACCCCCCCGCCGATATCTACCAGTAGACCCTGAGCCACCTTGCTTATTCTCGCCGCATTGGCAGTGTCTCTGTGCCCAGGCAATCGTGCCTGCGAAGTCTGCATTGACTGGGCCAGATAATCTTTGAGCCGGGATGAACCTTCCCGGGGACGCGTGTGTGTCTCAGAGAATGATGGTGAGTGATTCGGTATTGATTCCCTACAGGCAACCCCATTCATCCCCTGCTCCAGAAGGACATTTAATCTTTGTTAAAAATAAATAAGTTCAATTATTGGAAAGGGAAAATACAGCAGTGTATTTATTGCAAGTAAATCAAAAGTAATTACTCCGGGAAAAGTTGTATTTTGGGGCTTTGAGGAATACATCGGAGGATGTGCGTTTGGCTGTCATCGAAAAGGGAAGCCCAGTGCAGCGGAGCAGAGATGCCGTGGCTTTGGGTGTCAGGTGGACGGGGGCCCTGGGGAGCCTTGGCCGAGGCTGCTCCCTGGGCCTGGTTCCCGGGCAGCCCAGGGAGGCCCGGAGCAGCGCTGGGCGGTGGCTGCCAGAATCCCCCCGGACTCCCGGGGCGCACGGCCCTTTTGTCCCCCAGGGCAGGGTGCGATCATGGCTCGGGGTTCCCCAGCTATGCAGATGTGCCCACAGATGTACACACATTTGCACATATGTGCACAAACACCCCAGTGATCCTGGCACAGATTGCTCCTTCCAGGGAGGTAAGAGTGCACTGTAGGGGGGTCTTCTAGTATTGGGATGGCATATAAAAACTAAATAAAATAAAATAAAATAAATCTTTGGCAGGGGGTCTTTCTAGCCCTCCACCCCCAGTGATGCCAGTGAGGAATGTGCAGCTGTTGTGTCATCCATTCTGCTGCCATTTCGCAGACTGTCGGGTGCCTGCCATTCATTGCACGCTCCCTGGCAGAGTTTGCACAAAGATGTTCCTATGCATTTATGCAAAGTGCTCAAGCTCCTTCACACTATGCAAATCCCTGAAAGATGCATGTGCCTCCACTTCAGCTGATGTGGAAATGTGCATTTTGGTTGCTTTTTATTGTGCGGCTTAATTTGCATAACATTTTAAAACATCACCTGTAAATCAGTGGAAGTCCACTGTGGCATTTTGCGCTGGAGTCTTCTGCATTTGAACTCCCTCTTGCAGCTCACCTTGTTCTTCAGGGAGGGATGAGTGGCGAGCGGGAGCCAAGGCAGGACCCCATGGGACAACGGCGCAGCCAAGAAGGCGCCCCTGCGAGCCTCGGGAAGCCTTCCGCAGCCTGGGGCCCTCTGGCAGTGCGGGCCTGCGGCTGGAGAGTGCCCTGGGGCGCAGGGCTGTCTGGGATCCTGCCTTCCTAAGGGGGGGAGGAGAAGGAGGGGGGAGGTTTTGTGGGGGTGGCAGCCACTCACACCCCCTGCTGCAGTCCCTTTGGAGGCAAGGAGCCTTCTGCTGGGGCAGAGCGGGGCAGAGCCGCCTTCTGCAAGGATTCACCGGACCACAGCTGCCATCGTGTGCCCATGGCACAGGGACGGCTGCTCTAAGTCACCCGACGGCCCTGCCTGCAGTTCTCCGCACCAGCCAGCAGCCCTGGGGGAGCAGGGGAGGGACGCTGCGGCCCTGGCCCTTCATCTGGCACTGGAATGTCCAGTGCTAGCAGTACGTGCCGGATTGGGACATGCGGCCAAGGCCACACGCCCTGTCTCAGCCCTGTCTGTGCTGTTCGAACGCGAAGTTCCTCGCAGGCGAGCTGGAGGATTCCTGCCTGCAAATTGCTACCCTCTCTGCACTCACGGAAACATATGCATTATTTTTTTGGATAATGATGAGGTCCATTTTGGATGTCACGGCAACAAGCAACGAGGGGAGCTGAACTCGATCTTCCCCTCCGCAGATGGGGCACCCATACATCCCAGGCTGACATGTTGGCGAGTAGAGTCCGCCATGCACCACTGGCTAAGGCATTGTTCATTTTTCAATTTCACTGCCTTGCCTTCATTTCACCACTAATCTAATTCTTCTGCCAACTCTCCATTCCCTGATGGCTGAAAGCTCCCGTCTTGCCTATCCATGTGATATTACTACTATAGATCACCACTTAGAATTTAAAGTTGTAATTACTGCTAGGTATTTACTTGGTGATCTGGAAGCAAGCTCCCTCGGCCCGGCACCGGCCCGGCCGTAGCTTTGCGGCCCTCACGAATGGCCCTCGCTGGCGTACCTGCCTGGAATGCAAAGAGTTCCCGGGGAGCCCCCGGAACGTGCCTGCTGCAGCCCCAGGCTTGAAGCGCCGGCCTGAACTTTAGCAAAATCAATTGAAACCGGAGCAGCAATAAGGATGCCGTTGAACTTTGGACTATTATCAGAAATAACTGTGACTGACAAAAAATGATTCTCTGGGTAACCTTTCTGCAGGGCTCTTTCTCTCCCTTTAGTGCCACCTGATCATTGAGAGAATATCAAGGATAATTAACGGACCACTGATCGCCTTGAAATATTGCACACTGAGAAAAATGATCCCTGGCTGTAATGGCAGCAGAGTGCAATCTTTCTCCCGAGGCGGATTAAGGGCCTCGTCTCTTGTCCCTCGCAGGCATGGAGAGCAAGATCGGACTCTGCTCCCCTGCCTCTGCCTTCCCTCGCGGGGAAGGGTGCTTCGGACGCGGGGCTGATCGTGCCCCTCCTGCTCCATCGTCCGCTTCCGCTTCTTCCTCGGAGGGCCAGTGACTGGCTTGGTGCCTGCTGGGCCAGCAGCCAGCGGGCATCCTGAGTGCGGCTGCCAGTCACTGCGCGGCTTGGGGTCTGATGCAGGAAAGGATGTGCTTTGAGTGAGGAATATGAAGCAGCTGCTTCCGTTCTCTGGGTTTTAAGCAGTGTGCAGGAATCCTGATAGCTGCTCATGCCTCACCTCTGATGAGTGAGAGTCAGGGCTCCCCCGGGGCTTGCCAGGCACCAGGCTGGATCGGCTCAGGTCTCACTGGAGACCGGTGGTGCTTCTGGGAGAATAAGGTCATTTGGAGAGAAGGATGGGCTGATTCGCGTCACCCCGGCAAACTCATCTCCTGCATTCGGGTTCTTGGGGAAGCTGCAGTGTCAGAGGGTTCCCTGGAGGGAGCGAAGGCCGCTCCCTGCGGCCTCCACGGAGCAGGGTCCCAGCACCGGATGACACACCCGCTTCGCTTTTATTCTCACTGAAGCTGGATTCACGCATTTCTTAGGCAGTGGGAAGAAAGGCAGCCCCTCCTCTGGGATACAGTGCTTCCGGCTGCCATATTTGAGGACAGCCGCCTGGCCCATTTCCAAATCCACGGGACGTGTGCTCAGCTCAGCTCGTTGCACCCCCTTGCACCCATCCTGCCCACCCCTTTCTGCAACTGGTTCAGGTGACGCTTGGAAGTCGCCTGGGAGGCCTGCTGTGCCCCATGGATGACATAGGACAGGGGGTCCCAGGGCCCCCCTTCCCTCAGTTTCCTGCGGGTATCCCGGGGGCACTGTGGGCTCACTGGGGGGAGCGTGGCTGGCAGCTGTTGGAAGCGGGTGCTTCCAGGGGCAGTCATGGGCTTCCCTGCCCCACATTCCTGCTGACGACACACACGATCCCACTCCCTGGGCATCGGCAAGCATGCAAGGAAGGTGGAGCACGGTGGGGGCATCAGCCCCCCAGGGTGGGACTCGGAAGCCTGGGACAAGGAGCGCCTTCCCTTCCTGAGCAACAGAGGGCTGGGCAGCAGGGCTGACGGAGGACCATCTGCCGGGAGAGGCTCCTGCCCCAGGGACCTGCGGTGGCCCCAGTGCAGTCCTCCACTCGCTGCCCCCTTCGGAAATGTATTCTTTACATGCTTGGAAAATGTCACTTCTGTCCTACTCCAGAACCTGCCACTCACCGAGCAGCCAGCAGGGAGACCAAGAAGGCTCCCTGGCCCCACGGGTCCCCTTCGGGACTCTCCCCACTGCCCTGACTCCCTTCCCAGCCCCCAGTCTGGCAGTTTCCCTCCATCCCACCCATTCCTCACCATTCCTCCCCACTCCCTGTCCCCAGCTGCCTTCCCCTCTCCTTCCTGGTCCCTTGCTCAGTTCTCTCCCCCTGCGCCCTGCTTTTTCTCCCCTCTCCAGGGTTCTAGCCTTGCCGCCTTCTCCCTGCCTTTGCTATTGCCACGCCACTTCCGCCTTCCCGTCTCTCTCCCGCCGCGAGTTTTGACTAGCCAGGCCCCTGCAGTTGCTGTGACCGGACTAGGCACATCTTCCATGGACTCATCTAGGGTGGTGCCTGAAGAGGCAAACAGCCTCAGTTTGACCCACTACCCAAGTGCAGCCCCCCTCAAGATCAAAGCGCAGTGCAGAGGGAGGGCCTGGAAAGCTCGGACTTGCCCGTCCAGTTGGACTGCAGAGCGAGGAGGCCAGGCTGTGGTGAACTGTTTGAATGGTGATTGTGAGTCAACCATTTGGCCCCATCCGTTTGCGCAGCAAGATGTGATGCCAATCGGGGACCTGTTTTGTCTGCAGGGCATCCGGTGCTGGCCCCACTCAGCCGTGGGGCAAACCGGGTGACCTTGGGGCAATCACAGACTCTTGGCCCAGCCCAACTCACAGGGTTCCCGTGGATGAGATTGAGAGGAAGAGGAGAATTATGCAGGCTCTGATAAATGACCAACCAACGGTAGGGCACACCTGGCTGGCCATCACCTGGCCGGCCGGCATCAAGCAGGGCGCTTGAGTCCGGCACAGGCAAGCAAGCGACCAACCAAAGAGTCAGTCCTCCTTCTTGAGAAGAAGGCAGATTGGCCTCAGGCCAGAGTGGGGGCTGGCAATCTCTCCCCGAGGAGCAAAATGTTTGCAGAGAGCTATTGTCATCCCCTTGCTTATTTGAAAGTGGAAATTACCGTCACCAAGGCAAGCAGATTTTGTATTTTGTGCAAGTTTTGCGAAGAAGCATGCTAGAACAACAGGGCGATGATAATCTCTTTAATATTCCCCGCAGAGAAAACACAATCAAATATGAATGTGATGCAACATATGAATCTATAAACTTGAGCCGAATTGCCATGCCAGCCCCTTAAACCAGAAAGCAGCTCCCGATTGCCCGATAACGACCACGCAGAATGTTAATCAGGGCCTATTGGCCTGCAAAAGCAAGGCAGGGGATTGAGCTGCGCGTATTGGCAGTCCCAGAATCCGGTGGTGTGTTTCCCCTCCTCTCAGGTCCCAAAGGCTGCGTGATCAAAGCACATTTGTTAAGCACCCCAACAAACCCGGGCATGTATCCCATGTATTGTGAGCCGCCCCGAGGCTTATGCGAAGGGGGCGGCATATAAGCTGCCTAAATAAAATAAATCAATAAATAAATGTATCCGTGGGGCCTCGGTTTCAGGGCCGAGTGTGGGAATGAGGCAGATGCGGTGTGTGGAGCAGCCAGGGCCCCAACAGGCCGGGCACGGAGTCCTCGTGGACCCTGAGCCTGAACCATCTAATACAGTCATGGAATGGTAGGGTTGGAGGGGACCTGCAAGGTCACGGAGTCCAGCTGGCCGCTCGGTGCAGGCCTGCAAGTTGCACCATCCCTCTCAGATGCTGTCCAAGTGCCGAGTGGGAGGGCCCAGCACCCCGCTCGCTCAGGGGTTTCACCGATCTGCTGCTCTGACCGTCAGGGAGATCTTCCTGACGTCCAGCCAGCATCTGGCTTTCCGTGACTTGAGCGTTATTCTGGATCCTGCACTCTGGGATGATTGAGAAGAGATCCTGGCCCTTCTCTGTGTGACAGCCTTCCAAGCATTTGAAAAGTGCGACCCCATCTCCCCCCAGTCTTCTCTTCTCGAGGCTAAGCAGGCCCAGTGCTTTCCGTCTCTCCCCACAGGGCTTTGTCTCCAGTCCCTGGATCATCCTCGTTGCCTCCTCCGGACCCTTCCCAGCTTGTCTGCGTCTTTCCTCAACTGTGGTGCCCAGAACAGGACACAGGACTCCCACTGAGGCCTGACCAGTGCCAACTAGAGGGAAACTGGGCCCTCACACGATGTGGAAGTGATACAGCCAGCATTAGCTTTTTCTGCAGCCACATCACATGGTTGACCCACAGCCAACCTGTGATCTATGACAGTTCCAAGAGCCTTCTTTCTTGCAGTGCTGATGAGCCAAGTACCCCCATCTGGTGGCTGTGCACTGGGTTCCCCTTCCCTGGGTGCAGAACCTGGCACTTCTCCCTCTTGAATCTAATTCTGTTGCTTTCAGCCCAGTACCTGTCAAGAGCATTTTGATTTTTATTTATGTCTCACAGGATTTTAGCTGCCCTGCCCAATTTTGTGTCGCCTGCAAACATGCTTCCTGCCTGTCTTGCTATTAATCTGTCTGGACACAAGCGCCTGCAGGAAAGGCCCTTTGGAGGAAACCCCACGTGCAGAAGGTCTCTCCTTGGTCCCCTGTGCCATCTGCCCCCCAGTCTCCCTGCTTGTAGGAAGACACCATGTTTGGGTTTGTGGAGCGCCGCCATCTTTCTCCTCCAAGCCTGGCTTGGCCTTGTTTACCTTCCCAAGAACAAGCAGGGCTCCATATTCATTGGGGAAAATGTGCTTTTTTCAAATGAAAAGGGGCATTTGTTAAAAAGCATGTCCATACTTCATGGGCTAAAGCATGAAAATAAAGACTTTGGGGCAAACATACACATGCGCAGGTTGGGAAGTGTGTGCCTCTGGAAGCACCGGTTTTAGTCATGAGTGAAAAGTCTGGAAAGTGGCAGGAACTTCCCGAGTATTCATTTTCTGCCCACATCGGCCTTTGGAGTTGCAAACAGAACATGCTTGCGTGATTTGCAAATATGAACGGAATTCTCATGTAGCCTCTGTAAAGTGGCAGATCTACAGAGATCATGGCTTTTTAAATTATTCCATTAGCCATGTTTTTGTTTCCCAGTTATAGCTGTTATTCAGTGATCTTTTTATGGTACTTTAATGTTTTGATGTTGCAAGAATCCTCCAGGTTGGCTGAAAGATGGGCTGGCTCTCAGCCTGAGGGGAGCATGGGGGAAAGACCTCCGGGGGGCTCCCCTCCCACATCGATCCCCCCCCCCCCAGCAGGCTCACCCAGTGGTGGAATAGACAGCAGTGTGCCAAGTGGCAAGCTGCCACTTTAAATTTCCTACAATGCCTTGATGCAGTGTCTACTCAGGGCATTGTGGGGAATCAAAATTGGCTTCAAGACCTTCACTGCGGGGGGGGGGGGTGCCATTTTAATTGTATGTCATGCTCCGGAGTGACACCAGATTTGGTGGGGAATGTAAATGTTGGCTGCCCAGAAGGCTCAGGACAGACTTCAGCAGTCCCAGTGGCTGGCACAGGATGGTGCCGGCGGCAGCCCCACCCCAGAGGCAGGGCAATTTGCGGCTGCTGATCCTGCCAGGCCACACGCCTGCTTGTTCTGCACAAGTGAGGTGCCAAGATGAGACACGTTGGTGGTTCCTTTGCAAAGGGAAGGGAGGCTGGGAAGGACAAGGCTGAATCGTCCTGAGAGAAGGGGGCCGAGGGGCCGACGGAGGGCTGGCCACTCAGTGGCCACAAGGCGTGGTGAGTGGCCAGAGGCCAGGCAACTCCAGTGGTGGGTGCCACACATGGATGATGCGTGGGGGCTGGCGCCTTTCTTTTCCTGCTTCTGCTTCTGAAAGGCCTCTGGCTGGTTCCACCACAAGAGCCAATGTCTCAGGATTGGTCCACCAAGGCAATTCTTACAGCAGAACTTGCTGCTTGTGGAGGGGAAAGATAAATACTTGCAGGTGTTTTTAATGTGATATTATTAGTAGTAGTAATGGAGGTTCAGGTTCTCTGGCCCAGAGGCTGTGACATGCTGGGGCAATGGTGTGGGGAACTGTTTCTGCCACCCCAGGGGGCTGCCAGGGGAGGAGGAGACGATTCTTGCCAAAGGTCTTCCTAGATTGCATGCAGAGGGCGACAGAAATTAGTCTGAGGCCTGCCTGTGACCTGGGGGGGGGGGGGCAGTTGCCCAGCCTGCTTCCCCAACCCCCCCCCCCCGTTCCCTGCACTTTCCAAGCTGCTGTTTCGCCTTAACGCCACCAAGATAGCGCAGCATTAATCATGGCCTTCCATTTCACTCCCAGTTAGTAAGCACCCTTATTATTAATAATTGGATAGCTTAATTTTAATTCCAGTTATTCAAATCATTATTCCACCCATTGATCAATACAGTAGTAATTAGATTAACAAATACTGAGTGATTAACAGCTACAGGAAATGCAGTTTAATTAATTTAAATGAGGCACTATTAAAAATGTGCTGAAAACTTCTGGGCCTTGTAATCATAACTACTGCACAGGTAGAACAAGGCTCTTGTTTTCTAAATCAAATAGAAAGTCTTCAATTATAAAAAATTTAAGCAGAATACTGTTAATGTAGTATTTAAGTTCGAAGTACATCTATAATGGAAGGAAAGTCAAAATGGGGCAATGGCCTAGTTCTATAAGCTACAGCAGCATTTTCTAACCTTGTCTCTTCTAGATATACAGTATGCTTGACTATTGTTGGTCTTGCTAGCTGGAGATGATGGGAACACATTTGCAAGGCACAAGGCTGGAGACGGCTAAGCTGCACCTTACCAAGGCAGTTCCGTGCTTGTTTAAACAGAAAAAAACCCCCCCTGCTCCCAGCACACGCCAGGCCAGCAGTGCTGCTGGAGACTGCGGGCACGTCAGCTTGGGCGCCCACCTGTCGGGCATCGCAACCTGCCAGGCAAGACCTGCCTCCCAGTTGCCTCCCAGTCCCGAGATTCTATGGACCCCACCAAGAAGTGGGCAGCTGTCTTGGCGATATACTTCTTGGCAGAAGCTGGTGGGTCCAGTATCAGTGGCGTGGGGTTGTCCCCCGCGGGACCTTCCCAGGAGCTGTCCATGGTCCTGAACAACAGCCCCAAACAGCCTCAGCAGCATGGACAGCCCTCCAGAGCACCCCCCGTGACCTCGGGTGCATGCCCCTCCACACCGGTTGGGAGCCACCAGTCTCCCTGGCTTGTCCTCCCTCCAGTCATGGGGCCGTAGCTTTCTCCACGATCCAGTGCTCTGGGTGGTCTTCCCACTGGTTGCAAAGGGAAGGGGCTTCCTCCTGCTTCTCTGCTCGGCCCAGTGACTCCCCCGTGGAAGAGCCACTGTAAAACCCCGGGCCAGTTTCATGGGATGCATGCTCTGGCGAGGCTTATGTGTCGACAACAAGAGCAGCTCCCGTTCCCGCAAACTGCAGGAGGCACAACCTCCCCTGGGAAGGGCTGTGCTCATCTTCCTGGGCATTGCTCTCCAGAGCCATTTTCAGACATTGTGTTTTCCAAATACAGACACGGACTTTTTGCTAGATTAAAGGACCTGGAGGGCCATAAAATGTCTGCATTTCAAAATCACATTAAAATGAGCATGCTTGAAAACGTCGCATTTTAATTAGGGCTGAAGCGAGATAAAGCTCAATCAAGCCGTTGGTTGGGAACCAGTTTCTCCCCGATTTTCAGGGTGGCATTCAAGTTTCATCAGCAGGAGCTCTGGGGGATGGTGGAAGAGGATCCCGTGAGGGGAGGCAACAGATGGGTTTGCAGCCTTTTATTTCCTGGCAGGGCCTTTCTGTGTCTCTCCCACACCATTATCCCAAGTCAGCAGTGTGCAAAGGTTTCTTGGTTATTTTTTCCTGCCCTCATGGAGCTCTTAGCCACAGAAGCCTCCCTCCATAAGGGAAAAGCAGCTGCCTTTGGCTCCAAGGAAGGCCCCGGGCTGGTGGAGCAGCTTTTCCTGGGATTCACAGTCTGTTGGACCCTTGGGCACATTTGGCGTTTTGAGAGACTGTCGTGGTGCTCTCACAAAAAGGCTGCCATTGGGAAGCTTGTGTTGGGGAAATTCAGATAAGTTCTGGTAGAAAAGTGCTGTTTAAATGTGCCTTTGTGCTACAAAATCAAACCTGCCACATCCCTGCACCTCTTTCTCAGTAAGTTCCAGAATCCCAAGGCAGGCGCCTGCCTCGTATTCCTTTCAAAGCTGTTCCTTGTAGAGATGGCTGCCACCTTTGCTTGGAAAAAGCCTTGGCAGAGTGGGGCTCCCAAGGAAACATAGAAACAGAGTGAGTCAGAAGGGGCCTCCCGGCCCATCTAGTCTGACCTCCGGCACCAGCCGGCTCCGCTCACGACATGCCCACCATGTGGACATCCAGCCTATCCTTGAACACCCGCACCGATGGGGCTTCAACGACCTCTCGTGGAAGCCCCTTCCACACCCTCGGGGTCCTGGCTGTCAGGAAGCGCTTCCTGGCATCCAAATGGAACCTGGGCTCCCTGAGCTTTGCTCCGTTGGAGCGCGTTCTGCCTTCCTCTGCAAGGGAGAACAGGTCTCTACCCACCTCCATGTGACACCCCCTCACGTACCTGCATGTCACCAACATATCCCCTCTGGGTCTCCTCTTCTCCAGGCTGAAGAGACCCCATTCCCTCAATCTCGTCTCATACGGCATCCCCTGCAAACCGGCCGCCAGCCTTGTGGCCCTACGCTGCACTGACTCCAACCTGGCTATATCCTTTCTGTAATGAGGGGCCCAAAACTGAACACAATACTCCAGTTGCGGGCACATCAGAGTTGTGTAGAGTGGTAGTAATACCTCTCTTGATCTAGAAGCCACACTTCTGGCTATGCAACCAAGGGTGGCGTTCGCCCTCTTGACCACCGCATCACACGGCTGACTCATGTTTAGCCTGCAGTCAACCAGCACCCCGAGGTCCCTTTCACAAGTGCTGCTCTCCAGCCACTTGCCCCCTAACCTGTACTTATGACACCTATTCCTATGCCCCAAGTGCAAGACCTTGCACTTATCCACATTGAACGCCATCCTGTTGTCTCCTGCCCACTTCCATAGTCTGTCCAGATCC